CAAATGCGGGGAATGCAACGGCAAGATAAGTGGGAAGCCCGGCGAACACTGCTTTTCTGCTTGCCAAAATAATAGCAGCAGCAGATCATTGTAACACACTCTGAGCGATGACTGGGTAGTGTGTACGTTTGCATAATTTAACACGGCGCTCCCGGCAGGAAACGCACGCCGAAAGACAAAAAGGCAGATTGAAAAAAACGCCACTAGAGAACAATGAATGCATAGCCACCGAGGATACTCCGGGATTAAATAAGGACATAAGTAAATGATAAGGGAACAACCTACAGTCAGGCAACAATGCCAGGCCCTAATTAACTCTGAAGTTCATGCTGAAAACGGGATTTGATAGGAACTCACTAGAGAATGGAGCAGCAATTGGCACGACCGGACTTTATTTTTACATGTTCCACCTGATGCAGGGGTTCAACGGTCTCTTCTACATCAGCAGCGGAGATTTGGCCAGACTTAACTTCACCAGTTCGTATCTGAGTGTTGCTGCTGCCGGATGCGCAGACTGCACTGGTTTTGGTAGGAGAAATGTGATTTTCAGCGGTGCCACAAATGTCACCCGCTGGGGAGACAGAACCGTCGGGGGAGGTTGATAATCCATTGACCGGACGTATAGCTGGGTCGTTTATGATCACCTAATGAAAGAAAAAAGAACTCTTTGCAACGCAGTAGGGATGTGGTAATAAATGCGAAAACAAAATTTCCAGCAGAAAACGTTTGAGTAAACGGAAATAAGCAAGTTTTGCCTTGTGTTTTCATGCGTAGATGCTTTTCAAGGGCAGAAGTTCATTTCCAAGACATCTGCCTACAGTCCGAATATTAAGTTAGTGAGTTTAACGACTTGCAAAAAATGTGGTACTGGTTGGCGGCAATGGCTTTCGGGACCCGTACTAAGCTGTCATATTCGCCAACGTGCCACACTTTAGCACGGTTGTTGTTTCTAGGTGAACTTCTCAGGCCTGATAAGTTTCGGCTACATCAATACATTCACTGATGTTTTTCGGGCAGAAAAATGGCAAACTGAGCACATATGGATTTTGTGGTTATTACCTCGTGCGACAATTGCCGCATTCGAAATTACAGACACCAACTGGACGCTCCAGCGATTAGGCTTTTGGCACCTATTACCTGGAAATGGCCACTTGATAAGTATAGACAGATCAGCCACTCCTTGTGAGGATGGTGTAAAAGGACGGAAGGAATATAACCTGAAGCGCTAAAAACCTAGGGGACATATGCTAATGTGAACGTTAAGGAGAGTATGAAACATTCACACTAACTCAAGACACTTAAAATGTGCTTTGAAATTAAATAAAGCAGAGTTTATGGACAGCAAAACACGATAGGATAACTTGGCTGAAGTGAATTTGGTTAAGCTGTGCAGATGGAAATTGGCTCATATCGACTGAAAGAAGTCAACCAAAACCTGTACTATTACTACAGTTCTCTAATCCTTATAAATCCTCTCACGTGTTAACTCAAGCGACGGCAAATTAGCAAAGGTTGGTGGTTGGTCCTCCGCTACTCTAACTATTCATTTGGCAAGGCCCCCGCCTGTAACCTATACCACTGTCTTTAAAAATGGTAGAAAGTGAAACCAACTACAGCCCTGTAATGATGACAACATCTGAAGTAGTCTCAGACAGCCTCTTTATTTTTCGCAACGAATTTAAACCCCCAAGATCTCAAAGTCGGTGGACAAATATTCAAATTTTCCGACGGTGACCATATTTTTAAACCAGAAGTTTGACAAGATCATTCCACATGTCGATTTACTATTATCATGTATCACTAATCTAATACTATTGAGGCAACTATACAGGACATTTGAACGCTCAGAAATTCACCTTTTTTTGCTCGGAGGTAATTTAAAAGTGTCACCAAAATGCATTCCATATACAACTTGAAATAGTGCCCAGAGGGGTATTGGGATATCTTGTTCGAAAAAATGAGTACAGGATAATGTCAAGCGAAATCTTCTAGTTCCAAATCGCTATCTGCATTCTCAAAACACGTTACCATGTCAGACTTTGCAAATATGAAGCAGAGACGACTGCACGCAGACCTTGGCGATAGATACAAAACATGCAACATAATATAGCGAGCTGACTTTTTCTCCAGCGAAGTCACGTCATGATTTCGCGGAAATGCAACAAGCTTAAGCCTGGTAGAGAACGTTCACGCAGCGACTTCGCATGAGCTACTTGAAGTGGTAATCGAGAGACAACTTGACGCTATGACAATACGCCTAACCATACGAGGTAATTTCTAATGGCCAGACTAAGAAATAAATCAATCAGACAGCAACACGCGCCTATCTGGTGTGTGCGCGGATCCAGTGTGCGTGACATACGTAAACTTTGTCAAACACCACTCCCGATCGCGTCTTTTGTTTTTTTTACTCATTTACCTCAGGTGGGTGAGGAAGGAAAGATACTGATTGATGAAACGCAAGCCTACTATCACAATAAACAAATTTGCGTGTCAGTCACTGCCCTTCGCACACCATGCTGTGGGGCACACGGCAGACATCACCGATAAGGACGATCGAACTGCCTGCCCAGCACATGAAAATAAAGCGGCCGCCTTACTCCCTTACAGTGCCACAATATCTGCTTTTACGTATCTTTTAAAAAAGAATGTCTCCTTATGCCGTTTCTCGTTTCAGTTTTCTTTCAGTTATGTCCTCAAGTAACTTTGAAAAGACTATTTGCTGAGATTTTTCTGTCTGTTTTACGCCTTGTTGCGTTATCAAGCTGAAGGTATTTACTTGTAATAGAATATGTTGGTGGGATTTTTGTAGGGAGACCCTACGAGTCCGATTAATTAGGATTAGCACACATCGTCTGAAGGTCAGGGTCAACACCTGGCATTAGAGGATTAGAATTAACGTACCTCGTTTCATCTTAAGGGGCTTAGCGGACTTTATATGTAGTCCTGTTTCAGTCTTGTGGGTGTTATAAACACTTATCATTAACATAATCCAGTGTCTCTCTTCCGTTTCAAAAAAACTTCAGTATCTACCAAAGGCGTTTGCGCAGAGATAAATTCTTTGAAAGAAGCCTTGGTGATGAGTTGTTTACTTGTATCACAGGTTAAAGAATATTACCACATTCGACTCTGGTTAGTTTTAGGGATGTGTTACAAAACGGTATCTGCGTTAAGTTATTTAGGTATTCTTGTTAAGCAAAGAAATATTGTAAGACATTCTGTTTACAAAATTATCAGAATTAACAGTACCCACACACAATAATTAGAATATAAAACGATTGACAATAGCTAATTAGCGAGGTTGAAGCGATGTCAAAGAAGAAAATGAGATAGCTTAAGATCAGAGATTCAGCCAAAACGAAAAGCTAACGCTGTCGTGAACAGAAGACATACAGTTATAAACATTCGTAAAATGCAAAATGAAATCATGACTATGGATTTAGATCAAGGAAAGGCGATTTTTAGGTTGCTTTCATGATGGCTAGCAAATTAGATCGAATTTTATCAATACATACCCGGCTCCGGGCTTGTGCTCCGGGCTTTATATTCAAACATAACGGACTTTGACAATACTACCTCTCTAAAGTCAAAAGTTGATCTCCAAGTACAAAAACTAAATAGGATAGCAAACAAGGAAATCTGCTCAAAATCTGAACATAAATGTATCAAAGGTCTGTAATATTGTTGTCGGGTGATGGCAGATC